TCTCACCTGCGTCTAGTCTATCCCACCTGTTGGTTTAATTCTCTCTGTTGTTTTTATATTGTCTCACACACTACTGACTACACTTATTCTTGAAGAACCCTGTGCTTCTGTTGACTTTATATATATACACATCACACTGAATTATTTCACTCCATCTACTTACTGACTAAACATACTCTTAGAGCGAATCAAAACTAAGTGACTATTGTTATTCCATCTAGTACTTGTTCCACAATACATTTTCTGCTACAATTCTAACTTGCATTGACTGGCTATTGTAGGGTAAATTTAATGGATTTATCATTTTTGGAGCCTGAAGAATTTACCGTAGACAAATGTTTGCTCTAATCAATTTTATTGTTATTTAATTCAGTATGGACCATCCCGTTGATTCATTGAACTGAAGTGCTCAACCTTTGTTGACACGTCGGCTTCTTGTGCGGATGCTTCAGCAATCTCTATAGATTTAACATGAATTAATTTGGTGCGTGGTGACTAGCATTGGAATCCAGGATGCACATTTTGTCCTATTTAAGACTCGTGAATTGGATGCACCTGCACTCTCAGTGAGTGATGGCGTTCCGACTAAATGCTAAAGCGTTTGAAACTATGGGTACTGAGTTCCAGTCTCAGTGGGAACACCACCACTCACTGAGGAATGCAGGTACATCCACCTGACGAGTCCCAAATAGGTCGAAATGCGCATGCTGGATTCCACTGCTAGTCACCACCACCAAATTTTTATATTGTTATTGTAGGGATATTTAAGTTACCTTACATATATTCATTGACATGTCTTATCAGTTTGCGATTCATAGTCATCTACACCAGTATTAACCCGCATTAGTTTTTTCACTTATTGTTAAGCCTTAAAATGGATCTTCACCCACAGACACAGTAGAACTGATTGTTAGTGTCTATTGTGATTCGTCGTCATAAACACTAGCGTCCAGGTATGAAAATGAAATCAATATTAAAGGGAATTTTCTGCACTAAAGTCTTTGTTATATTTTACACTAAAATTACTAAGAGTAAAATAGCTTGACTGTTCAGAAGTTTGAGTCCATTTTATGCAAAATCTTCGTATACATGGTGAAATGAGTCATATTCTAAACAACTAAGTTATAAAGTTCCTGCATATCTAAACTACTTAAAATGGACGTTTAAAGGCGACATCAACTGCTTTTGAGCTACAAACAATGCGTACCAGCCAGCAAGCACAAAAAGCAGATAATGCCAACAGAAATTTATTTTTCACCTTCTAATCAATTTCATTCCTTTTTTAAATAATTCGAAGGCATAAATCAGAGTCAATCTTCCTATATCTGATTTCAAACCAGACACAATCTATGCTTCAGTAGACTACAGGTAATTTCACTGATTATCTTTGAGAATACCCGCCTTTTAAAGCAGTACAGTTTGTTATTATAATAATAATAATAATAATAATAATAATAATAATAATAATAATTGCAATGGAAGCACGAAGATAAGTCACAAAACAGTGAGTTGCAGGTTGAAAAGCAGTAGATGAATACAGCACAATACAAATATATGTATGGCGACACAAAACTGCTATACAATGACATATGACTCAGATGACTGACGTGTGAAAATGTATTTTTTTTGAAGTGTTATCAAAGAATATTATCCAGAAGGAATTAATTAAATGGAAACTTTATAGAGTAGATATAGACTTTTAAGATCTGAAATCCAGATAAATTAAACGATTACAGTCACCAGGACTGAACTAAATTCTACACTCTGAAATTAAATCCGATGACTGAATGAATCACTCCCATATGCACGCTAGCTAATTTCTCACCACCATATAGTGTAAAAATATATATAATGACATAAACAACTCGAAAATCTCTGTCGGCGAAAAGGAATGATTCATTCAGATAAATCAGAATCAACCAATGAAGATGGGGTCAATTAGAAAATATTGATGTTAGAGTATTTAAAAATATTAAATTTTTAAGGATCTGCCGGATACAAGGTGAGTTGGTAGACTATTCAGCCACTGGGACCCAGCTGAATGACGTATGAATTATAACTTCTAGCACTTCCTGACCTCAGTGTGACTGGCACTAGCCAGTGTCATCAGCGAGCTTTTGTCTTCACTATCCAACTGGGCGAACTCCACTGGTCACGACTTCTCACTAAAACGTCAGGCAACTTCTGCGGTCACACTTGAGAAAAAACCAAATCCCTACAAACTAACTGTTGAATATTAATGTGAGGCTCACTAGTGACTGGTTACAAGATGAAGTTGCCTGGAGTTCCAGTGAGAAATCGTGACCAGTGGAGTTCTCCAGGTTGGCTGTGAGGAAAAATACTCGCCGATTACACTGTCTGGTGGCCGATTTCAAATCACAAATTCGCAAAAGTTAGAATTCATCGCCCATTGGATAGGGTGTCAGTGGCTGAATGGTACACGAGGTTGTCTTCTAGCCGGAAAGTTAAGGGTTTGACCCCCGGTGGGCTCCGAAGTGGAATGAAACAGCTGTCCAGCACTCCCTGATGGTTTTCAATGGTTCTCTGATTGGTGTCAATCTGTGATGACACTTGAAACAAATCATATCCCCACAAACTAATTCTTGAATATTAAAATAAATTTAGATTAGTAATAGTACTATGGTGCGTCGGTGGTAGAATTTTCGCCAACCACGTATGTGGTCCGGGGTTCGATCTCCTGCCAACGCACTCCCAAACCCCTATGTTCCACTGAGTAATTATTGGAGAAAAATAGTATTGTCATGGTAAATAATTCCCCCGAAAGTTACTATTCAGCAGCATCCTTTATTCAGCACTGGTTGCTGATCTTCACTGTGTTAAGTTGACCAATTAAACTGAAGTTAAGTGGTCAAGCATTTTCGCGATGTGACACACTGTCGTGTTACATTCGGTTATTCGTGCACGGAGCCAAGCTAGTCAAGCAATCATCATAGCTCTACTTTTCTGATCCCAAAATAGATGTCTCAGATTTTGGACGATCATTTTTGGTGTTGCAGGATAGAAAGTTGAGTTTATAGACAGGGTATCTTTGGTAACTCCAGCAGCCTGCTTAAACCTTAAGCTACAAAGAACCTTCATAATTATACTGCATATAGTTCCTCTTAATAGCTTTGTTTTAATAGCTTAAAGTATGACCTCTGATGGTGTTTTCTACTCTTGTGAACATTTAAAATATATACAGCCTGCTCGTTTGCAAGTTTCTAATTAACTTGAGGAGAAACCTGATCATGGGTGACAGTGTATCCCAATACATAAGGAATTTTCAGCACAGTCTGTCACTGTCTAAGAAATAAAACTAACTACCTGAGGCCTTCAGTCATTTAGTTATGTCCTCTGGGTTATTAATTGTATCCCTGTCCATTTTTTAAACTGGCTTCCAAACAAATGTGGCACATATGGACAGCGGCATGCTTAAAACTTGGGCTACCGAACTAAACCTCCATTATTAATGCAATATAATTTCTCTCATTCTTGCTTACTGATTCGGAATTTTCTAACAAACACGGGAAATAGCAGTACACTCGGTGGCAGCTTACTCCAGTAGATGAGATGACTGTTCCTGAGTGGTGTCCTAGCTTCCCAAAGTGTACTCCTGGACTTTTTAAAAAAGTGACATTCAAAGGAAAAACGTTGTAAATTTCTCGACAGAGACAAAGATGAGATATCACAATGGATTGGTTTGCACTTAAGGTCAGATAGAACTGTGACATATGATCTGCTGTCAATGGATCTCTTTTATTTTGAAGATCTTGGACGACGACAAAACATCGTGCAATAAACTGTGCTGAAAATTCTGTTTATTATATAAATATTGTTTCAGAATAAAGCTGTTATTATTTTTATATTTCTCGAAGGGGAAAAGAAGAAGGATCATAAAGAATTGGTTTGCACTTGAGGTCATGCTACATTGTGTCAAGTGATCTACTGTCACAGTTACTATTCTACATGAGGATCCTGGACAAAGGGAAACTAATATGCAATGAATTCAGAAGAAATTCTGTATATTATATGATTCCTGTTCAGAATAAAGTCATTATTATTGTTACTAGTAGTGTGGTGAAAGCAGGCTGCTAGCCAATTGGTAGACATTAATTTACGTCCATGTCTAGGTCACTAATATTGGCCGTGAGAAAATATGAACAAGAGTGATTCGACAACCAATCACAACAGACTTAACATGGGCAAATACGATTCACAGATATACTGCTTAAATTTCTGAGAAACCAGTCACAAGCAGTACAGAATAACCTTGAGCAAGAAACAACCGATGAGAAGACTGTGTTTGTCTGCTTGAATAAGCTATAATAATGTACATGAAATATATATAAATACGTGCTGATTTCCTTAATAAGCGATCTGTTGCCTGGTCCATGTCTTCTGTTGTTACAGTAGTAATATTGCAGTGAGAGCTGTCTACAAACCACAATTGCAGACAACAATTTACATCAATGTTTACTTCCCGAATCGGAGTTATGAGAAAAAAGAGTTACAAAGCTTAACCTTGAAGAACTCACCAACCAGTCACAGTAGACTTAACGCGTGCAAATACAATTCGTAGATATGTGGCTTAACTTTCTAAGAAACGGTTACAAGCAGTACAGAATAACCTTCAGCAAGAAAACAACCAATCAGAAGACGTTACTTCACCACTGACAATAATATACATAAAAATCTACGAGTATCTGTTTATTTTATCAATAAACGATCTGTTGCCTAGCCCTGATCTTATGTTGTTAAAGTATTACTGTCAACGTTCCTACATCTCCTAAACTGGTGCACCTAACAGTATAATAGTCGGAAATGAACTTGTAATCTTGATATATTCGCATAGCACTATATTCACCTTTTTAATTACATCTCTGCGGCAACAACTTTCTGTCTATGGGAATAACAATAATAATAAAAATAACTCAAAACTCTGTATAGCCTCATATGTGATATAAATTTGTTTTCTCTCTAACTCTCTCACAGTCTCTCACCTGTCCGTATTTTGTTCTATTAATTCACGTAAAATCTCAAGAAACGCAGCTTCACTGCAGTGTAGAGCATTCTCGAAATATGTTGATTCATTCATATCAGTCTAAATAAAACAGAAAGCAAATATTTGTGTGAGATATATGCTGGAATTAATTATTACATCTCAAGAATCGGTTTGTATTGATTGATATCAGTCAGAGAACCAATGAAAATCAGGGAGTAATGGATAGTTGTTTCGTCCTGGACTCAGACCGATCGACACTACGTGCCAACTGCTCACTAGTGACTGGCTACAGAAAGAAGTTGCCTGGAGTTCCAGGAAGAAGACGTGACCAGTGGGATTCATCCTGTAGGGAGTGAGGATGGATTTCCCGCCTATGACATTAGTTGGTGACGGCGCTAAAGTCAGGAATTGGTGAAGTTATAATTCATGACTCACTGAAGCGGGTCTCAGTGGCTGAGTAGCATACGAGCTTGCCTTGTAAGCGGAAGATCCTGGGTTAGGAACACAGTTGTTACTTACTGCCAATGAGTCCCAAACTAGGATGAAGTAACTGTTTTGTACTCCCTGGTTTCCAAAGGTTCACTAACTGATATCAATCCGTGGTCTTACCTAATAGCTCTCAGCTGATAATATCTATTCAGTTTCAGTCGTTTGGTTTCGTCAAGAACTAGTATCATTTAGAGAGGACGATGGAAATCAACAGGGAGTACTGGACGATTCGTAAGCGAGAACCCTTGAGGGTAGCACCATATCACGATTTGACAGGGTTAGAATTCACAAACCACTGAATTCTAGCCCAAGTAGCTAAATCGTCAAAAAGCTTGATCTTGCAACCTGAAAGTCCTGGATTCGATCCCTTATGGGGATGGTTGAGGGATAATGCTAAAGAGTCCCAAACGTGGGCAAATCATTCGTAAAATACTCCCTGGTGGTTTTCATTGCTTCTCTAACTGACATCACTATGTGGTCAAACTTTAAAGAAATGAAATCCTTGCAAACTTACTATTGAAAATTTATCTGATATTATTTGTTCACTGGCTACTCCTTATTATCATCGTTAATAACTTCATTCTTGTTGAATTTCAATTGAGTTCAACCTAGTCCCATCAGTTTACTTATTTGACTTTATTTCAATTTCTACAGAACAAAATTATCTGGAGTGCTAGTAAGAAGTTGTGTTCAGTGAAGTCCACCAGGTCAGGTATGACTTCAAAATAACCAGAGATGACTGGCAGGTGGCAGTCACTTTAAATTCGCGAAATGACAGAAGTCAGAACTGATGGTCTACTAGATTCCTACCTAAGTGGCTAAACGGCCAACCAGCTTGATCTCGTAACACAAAGGTGTTGAGCCTGTCCTCCAGTCGCGTCGTGGGTGCACACTGTTGAAGAATCCTTAACTTGAAAGAAGTATTCATACATTACTTCCTGGTGGTTTTCATTGGTTCTGTAACTGACATCACTGTGTGAACAACTTTGAAACAAATGCCATTCCTGCCAAATTCCTCTTGAAACTAATAAAAGTGACTCAAGACAGTGGTTTGGCAGTACGAACCACACCTAATGGGGTCTGGTGTTCGATCAACAGCCAACAAGCTCCTAAAATTTGCCTAGTCGGTGATAATTCCACTAATAACGGAAGGTTAACAGTGAGGACGGCAACCTCACCCGATAAAAAAAAATGAACACCACTGCTACTGAAACGTCACAGCTCAGAACTTGAAACTGCATGTCTCACTAGGGACGCAAGGGAACAAAATTAAAAAAAAACAATCAAGAGCTGAAAATCATTACAAACTTACATAGTAAGAGAATTCCTTCTCTTCATCTGCAAGATTATTAATATTCTGTGGATAACCGACTGATGCCTTCATTGAGTCCACCTAATCATTTGTATAGGTTGAAAGAAAATAAGCAATAACTTTCATCAAAATTTTAAAGTCATACCTTTTCAGTTGCCTTATGCTTGTCAGCTTCTTGCATCCAATCGACATTGACCAAATTCTCTTTGAAGGCCTTCTTTATCTCTGTTATCATTTCTGTTGCCTAGATATTATTGTCGAGAAATAAGTAAATGCCAGACAGTAAGCATCTTTACAATTTGTTATTTAATAAACAATGTTATTCATGGTATTCACTAATAACCAATGAATTATAAAACAAAATGGGTAATATTCATTCAAAAATATGAAACAGAAATACTGTGAATGTCAGATATTTTATACAAGAAGGATCTGCTATTGATTGACTGTACCCAAATATTCGACCTCCCCTTTGACATATCGATGGTTCCTAGTACAGACGTTTCGAAGACGTCTGAAGATTAACTTTAAATAATCCGGTGGATGGTGACTAGCAGCAGAATCCAGGACTCTAATTTCGTCCTAACTGGGAGTCGTCAGTGATTGGATATACATGCAGTCTCAAGTGACTGATGATATTCCCATTGGGACTCGAACCTGGTACCTACCACTTCAAACGCCAAACTGTTGTCCACTAGATCACTTGGGCTATAAAAAGCACCTTTTGTGCAAGTGGTACAGTGAATTACACTTTGACGCTTGAAACGAAGCGTGATAGTTTTGATTCTCAGTGGGAATATCATCATTCACTAATTTAAGAAGAGGACGGAGTAGGAATGCAGGTACGTTTGGATGACGACTCCCAAGCAGGACGAAATACACATCCTGGATTCCACAGTTAGTCACCAACCACTTAATCACTTCAAGGAGAATTTGTTTTGGTCACCACTCCTAACTATTTATGATTCAGACTAAAAGCATATTACTTCACATGTTTTGCGAGTACTCAGCTTGATAATTTACTGAAAACAGCTAATATCTAGTAGGAATCCATTCCTACACCTTTCTGTTAAATTCAATTATGAACACGTTCAGATTGAAATTAACATTATTTTGGTAATAATACTAAAGATAACGTCTTTATTCCACACTAAAACTTAACATAGTGTACAGAATTTCTGTGTGGTTTATTGTATAATACCTTCAATTCATCCAGTTTATTCAAGTAAAGGATTGGCCAATGGGGTACAACAGGTCGTGCATGAGGATAAATACTCGCCGATGACAGTGACTAGTGATCACGCAATTTAGTGAATTAACAGAAGTTGGAGTTCATGGGCCACTGAATTAGACCGCAGTGGCTGAATGGTCTAAGAGCGCGCCTTGTAACCAGTAGGTGATGGGTTCCAACCCTGATGGGTGGGTACTGACGGAGAGTCTTAAACTAAGAAGAAACAGCCATCAAGTGAGCCCTGAGTTTCCAATGGCTTTTGAAATAATCAAATCCGGAAAACAGTCCAACCCCTTCAGAAGAACACTTGAGAGCGGTAATCTGTAGTTTCTCATGTGACGAAATGCTTTTAGATCTAAAAAATAAAATACCCTTGTATGGTATTTTTCTTTCATCGCCGAGATATGTTCACCGGTATATAGAAAGTGTGTGTGTAAATATATCTGGCTTCTCAAGGACAGAAATGAGCGAAATGGTAAGAGAATGGAAATTCAGGTAGCCCAGTGATCCAAGAATATATCAGCGGTAGAACGCTCGCCAACCACACCCCGTGTGGTCCGAGATTCGATCATTGACTGACTAAACAGCTACTGAGCCTCCCGCAGCTATTTTTTTATTACAGCTTGATTCTACACTGTATTTTTAGTACACGTATGGAATTTTTAGCATGGATATCGGTAGCCCAAATTTTGCAGGCCGACCATAGATATCAGGTGTGCGTCGGCAGGGGATCGAAACTCGGACCGTGTGCATGGTCGGCCGGAGTCCTAACCACTGTGCCACCAAACCAATAAGATGATGTTTGTTTAGTCCAACTACTTAAAAATCGTTTAATTTGAGTGTAAACAAAGTACAGTGTCAGAAGTTGTGTGAAATATCAAATCAGACTGGTAGGTTATTCGAACATTAGCTGAAGTCGGTTATTGTATTAATATTATTATTATTCCCTTGGATTCCAAGTGCGATACAAGGAGGGCACTTATCCTGCACTCTACAATCACCCTTAGCTGGTTCTACGATTGGCCATAATCTTCCATCTACTCCTCCATGTCACCCTTGGATCTAACCCCAACTTACCGTCTCTCTCATTCGGGTTTCAGCTGAGCAGCTGTCTGAAGCGCGAAGTCACCCAATGGTTTCCTCAGCTTGTGTCCAGTCCATCTCTATTTTCTTCGACATATTTGTTGAACACAATGTTATTGATTGGTTTGCTCCCATAGTTTCTTGTTGCTAATATTCTCTGCATGGTCATCTGGTCATCAGTATGAAGCCAGTCAAAGAAGAAACTGTTGACAAAAATCTGCAGTGACCTGAAAGAAACGCTTTTCGTGACGCTCTGATTAACTTTCTGACTCATATAGAAGGACTGACAGGATTGACAATAGTGTCAAAAATTTGAGTTTTTTTTTTTTTTGCTGAATTCAGGAGATTTCCGAACTGATTTCACAGTGGTGAAGGTCTGTCTTGCCTTTCAAATTCTCGTTTTGACATCCTCATCCATGTAGTCCACCTGCAGTTAGAACGATACTGCTTAGTGACATAAGTGAAGACAGTGTGACTTCCTTCACTTTTTTCCTGCTGATAGTGATCCGCACTGGTTGCTGTTTTTGGTCTTTTTTTGATCTTCATCACCTCTGTCTTATCCATGTCCACCTGAAGTCCCGTCTCCACTGCCTACCTCTTTTGCCAACTTGTTAGTTTTCGCCTGTACAACTCCAAGTTTTGTGACATTGGAAATAAATTGTCCGTGAGCTTCAGACCTTTCAGGGTCTTCTTATCAGTCTAACCTAATCCTGCCCTCTCCTCCACGTGATTCAGTTCAACACAGTTAGAAATATCGTCAGTGACAGTAGGCATCTTGTCTCACTCACGCATTCACTTCAAAGGCTTCACTGAGGTTTCCACTGTGAACCACAGGACATGTGTCATTGCCATACAGCTACTGAATTAGGTTTATGAAGATGTGATACACTGCGCTCCGTACAGCTGAAGTAACTTCCAAATTACTCATGCAGTAATTTAAACATAGTGCTGTGCTTATAAATGCTAAGTAAAACAAATCTCCAATAAATAATAGATCTATTTAAAAAGAATTTGGATAATATGTAACATCAGACTTACAGCTTCTTTGCTTTTCTGATTAAATCTTTCCTGAACAAAGTGTCTACCAATTACTAATGCAAATGGAGATTGTACTTCTGTGACACATGTTTGCCAGCGATCTGGATCAACTTTTAAACCTTTTTTAATAGTTTGAAAAAAATAAAATGAATAAAAGTATGCATTAAACTCGATTTGATAAAGTCATAGATTATAGGAAATTTGGACAAATGTTTTGCACAGAATCTACAGACTGAAATGGATCAGTTTCATACTTGTGTGTAAGATGGTTGGAAGCAGTCTGACAGTGATTTAGAGTGCATGGTGATGAGGAGACACTCAGAGTGGCAAACACATCGCAAACTTGGCTGACAGAATTCAGCCTGTACCAAAAAGTCGAAGAACTAGACGCATGGCGATAGTCACTACTTAGTGTCCAAACAAAGTACCCATCACACCCTTAATTAAGGCAAATCGCGAGTCTGAATAGCTTGGTGACAACGTCTCTGATTGCAGCACTGGGTAGGTGACACTGGTTTGAATCTCAGGAGGGACATGGGATAAGCACGAAATCTAGGTCGAAGGATTCCTGGTGATTGCTTACAACCATCTGAACAAAGAATACTTATCTGTTATTATCAAATTAATCACCCTTAGTGAGGCTCATTTAAAGAAGATAGCTTGAAATAACAGTCATGGACTGGCTTGTTATTAAATACAGGGAAAATATTAACAGGAGATTGTATTGAATCCTTCCCTTCACAAAATGTGGAAACAGGACAACTGGAGCTTCTCTGATAATAAAAACCTGAAACAGTTTTTGAAGCGTCTAACTGGGAGTTTCATGTCAGCTGCACACAAAGAAGATAACTAAAAGTTTTACAGAAAAGGTGCACATTCTCAAAATTAACTATTCATTATGGAGTTTAGAAACAACAACCATTAGATAAGATCTTTTCGGGGAGATTTTCTCCAAAATGGTCAATTAATCTGGATGTGCTGCGAATTTCATGGAACAAGTGAGTAACACCTGTTGACTGAAGCTATGAAGAAGAAATCTAAGAGGAGGGATTTTACATTTCAACAGAAATAAATGAATTTTCTAGCTACAAATCTGCGACATTTTGAAACTAAGATAAGGATTGATAAGTAGATAAAATAGATTTGAATGCCCTTAGAGGAGTGTGTGGTCTCTTAGGGGATCAAAGAAATTCGTCAATTCAGATGGACCTCAACCATTTGGCCTTCAATGATCAATTTGTTTATCTGTGTTGATTAAATCATACCGGGGACGATTTGAATTTTCGAGAGAAAGGAGAGAGGTTGCAACGTTTCCGTGCGATGGAGTACCTCTATACATTCTTTGTACTGTCACTGGTAAATATATCCATTCACTAGTTGGGGCGGTGTTATGGCAAGCCTGGTCATCAGGTTAGGTGGACCAGGCTTATGAGTCAACAAATACTTTAGTCAAAGCTCAATTCTAGCCTGATGGAGATGGCCACACAACAGTAGTGAGCATTATTTCTAGTTGAAGCCAACCGGAAAACGAGCTCAAAGTTGTTCATGCAGCTGGCTTCCTCTGTGTTAACCTCCTTGAGAGCAATTCAAAAAAATTACTACGGTCGAATCATGGGAATTACCAAGTTCGATAGTAAAAGTTGACATCTCTGTAAATAGAACAATGCAAGCCAAGTGCCATGAAAGTTACCTAGTAAAGATAATGAACGCACTAGTAATATCTTCCATATTTGTAAATATTGCACGGAAATGAATTTAAATATGGCTTTACACAGAAAAATAAAAGTAGGTAATTCGTGAATTTTTGTATTTACCTAATTCTGCTTCCCTGTATTCTTCTAACATTTCACTGACTTTCTTCGGCATCCGTGTTGATGTTTTCCAAATGAAACTCCATACCAGAGCATTGTGTAAAGTTCTGAAATAAGATATTACCAAAAAGCTGATTAATACATATTGTTTAAATAATGAACAATCCCCGGGTCTGTTTTTCTTTCAGCACCACTCTGATGCATTCTCACATCTGGAAAAAAAGTATATGTGTTGGTTTTTTTTCTAAATAACTGTGGTGCATGTTGATGGCGCAGTTGCAAATAGAATGAATTTCACTTACGCGGATAGTCCCAGTCCAAGTCCCGGTAGTTTATTCCTAGACCTAACCTAATCAACAGTAAGTCAAAAAAAATAAAAGAAGGTCAGACATGACGCTAGCAACTCTAGCCTGAATTTCCAAGCCATCTATTGGCAAAATGGCTAGAAGGACTCCTAAAGCCGGTCAGAGAAGAAATCTCAAAATACTGTCCTCGGGACATGTTCGGATTCGTCGACTATGTCATAGGTGTGAAAGTGGAGCAACAAATGCATGACATCACTCAATGTCGAATCTCTCTTCACAAATGCCTCGATTACGGAGGCGATTTGTCTCCTATGCAAGTACTTGGAAGATAATGATTTAAATTTTGGAATACTAACATCTAACTTCAAAGAACTTGTACTTAGAGGCACTTTAAATACCTAATGCACACTCAGTGGTATTGTTTACGGATAGTAAGAAGATGTGGCTAAGGGTTAGCCTTTAGGCCCGGTACTTGAAGATATTTACACGCCAAGTCTGGAAAATGGTCAGCTGAAATCGATAATCGAAAGCTTCGTTATGAATTCAAGGTATGTTAATGATGCCTTTATCATTTGTAGTAACGACCGTGACCTAAACAGCATCCTACGAGTTTTCAATAGTTTCCGAGCAGACATCAAATTAAGACTGAAGTACAAGCTGAACAGACAATCTCCTTTCTGGATGTTTGACTAACAAAGAAGACTGATGGGACTTTGAAGAGGTCAGCATGGAGAAGTTCTACATGGAACGGCAAGTTGACAAACTTCTACGTTGGGTACTCATCACTCGCACCTGATGATATCTCTTGCAACTAGAGTTAGAGAGAATCTGCAGCCCTGAATCAGTAAAAGAGATCACTCTCTTGAGGAAGATACTACCTAAGAATGGCTGTCCCTCACGCTTTATAAATAAACACATAAAGCCCAAAACCAATGAAGATCACCCTATCTCTGTATTGAAGAAGATGTCATAAATGAATATATCGTTTATAGGTTACCTTTTGGTCTACACCCTAAAGAAGAGAATACCAAACGCTCCGAGGTGAACATTCCCTGCTGCTACATTATGACTGGTATTCTCAAGCCTTTCATTGTTCTTCAAAAACTCCGAAGATAAACTATCACGTTCAACCATTTCTATGTGTATCTACCAATTCAGCTGTTCCTGTAGAGCTGGATATATAGGTCTTTCGACGCGTGTTTTATCCAAGAGAAAAAGATACAAAATAACACCACTACTACTAAAACTTCGGAGCTTGAAGCTAGTGATATACCAAATGAAATAATAATAACCAACAGGTTGAGGAAATTGGTTCAAAGAAAGTTTAATGCAGGTAAGCCACAGCGCATATTTCCCACACAATCTACTCTTATTCCTTAACTGAAAGATAAAGCACCTACATTGACTAGTCACTACTCATTGGATCTACCAGCTTAACTACTCCTTTTCAGCCAGTTCTATTGACCGTTACTCTAGGAACTAAATTTTTCCTGCTCTGGGTGGTTAAATAAAGGTGTTGTTTAAACCGTCAACAATTCTGTATTACATCACCTTGTCTAACACAGGCTTTTGGAGAGTATTCCCCTAACATCCATTGGAGAACAAATAAATTACCCAAGGATCTGTAGACATCGAGCACTACAAACATCAGGTGGTACTAGGATCCACCAAAAAATATTCACAGCTTTGCATGCAAAACAGGCAGCTTCAGCTACTATCCCTATCCTGGCCTACTGTCGAACCTATAAATTCATAAACTCAGCTTTACTTTTCTTAATTTGTATGATATTCAATCTGGTGTTATGTTGACGCATTTTATCCCTTACTGTTGACATTACTGATTTAGTGTAATTTATAACAATAATGTTGCTATTAACGATTAGTCTTTAATTATTCTTAACGTAAAACTGTTGAATCTGAAGGAGAAGTTATCGAAAAGAATATTCTTTGTTCAGCAGTCATTCCTCTAAATAAAATAAATAAATAAAAAAGCAACGCAACAACTATCCAACATACTTGATGCCTTCTTCAGTTGATAAGTATTCTTTGTATAATGCACATCTAAGTCGTAAGAATGAAGCTTCGTATAATGCAATCACTTGATTTTGTGAAATTGTATAATTCAGTGGTTTGTATATATGATTAAATAACCTGGTCCAATTAAGCTGCAAAATAAGGTTCATTAAAAAAAGAACAAGAAAAGAATTAAATATATATTTAAAGAATATCAGATAGAAAGGCAATATTTAAATTGGCATGAAGCATGAGTCAGTGGCGCCCCTGCCTTTCATGGTCCAGGATTCCATCCCTGACCGCCTGACGCACTGCTCAAATTCGCCCAAACGGTAGTAAGCCCGGAAAAGATAGGGATTTGGGCGTGAGACCAGCATACCTATCTAGTAGAAAAAAGCATAACGCCACTATTACTACAGTTTCAAAACTGAAGCCATACGTTCTACTGGAAACTCAAACGAATAAAAACTTGTGACAGGATAAATGAAAGTCTTAGCTAAGTTTATAAGACAAGAAGATTTCAACTTCACAACAGATCAGGTCAATTCTTCATTGAAGTACTGTTCTCCAGTCTGTTAAGGTTCATTGCTCTGTTAATGCAGTTGACCATAGGTTTAAACGGGAAGTGTATAGTGTTTGAAAGTGAAATGTGATATTGCTTCTGTTTTTTCTTCATATATTTGAGTTCCGAGGGAAATGTACATGACTTCCAACTTTGAAGTTTCAGTAGCGTTGGTGGTATTTGCACTGGGTGTATTTGCTAGTCTCACACCCAATCTTCCATTTTTCCAGACCTTCTACTGATTGGAAGAGGTTTAGGAATGTGTTGGCTGGAAATCACGTCCCTACCTTCCACTAGAAGGTGGATGGAATTCCCTTGTTCAAATTTATTTTCTCTTCGCCCGTTTGCAGATTTAAACTCTACATTTCATGTGTATCTTGAAGTGAGTAGGCAAAACATAAAAACTAATGTTTAACATCAATCTATCAAAAATTACCGATCAGCTGTGCTTTAAGAAGTTCCAGAAGCGGTGTGACAATTTAGTGTTTTCTTCAAGATCACAATAAGATCATTCAATTCTGGGTGATATCGGAAGATATTAAAACAGTATTTTTCGAATGAACACTAAGTAGTAAGTGACTAGTGTCGTGTTGGATGTGATACCCGCTGCTCAGTAGTCCGCTCCGTCCTCCTTTAGGGCTGTGAGACCTGACCACAGAGAGTGGAAGACTTGAAAAGGCTAGCCGTCTTTGATCATAGTTGCCTCCATTCCGTCTCCCGTGTGAAGCGGTATAATAAGGTGAGCAATATTGAGGTTAGGCGTCGAGTGCTAGGTAAGGAGGGGAAATCAATCGACGAGGCTGTGAAATTACATCGACTGAGATGGTTAGGACATGTGCAACGTATGCCTAGTCATCACCATCCTCGACGGGTGATGTTAGCTGACAAAGGGTCAGGCTGGAAAAGAGCAAGCAGCAATCAAACTAAAACACAACACCAGTCAATGAAATCCACAACAGTTAGTTTAAGCCAGCCAGTCACGTAGGGAGGTTAAGACTTCCTGACTGGGTAGAGTCCTCGGGATGGTAGATACCAATTGGTGATATGGCTCAGAATCGTTCTCAGTGCTGCAGATGCATCCACTCCCAGTCACTTATGATATCCAATGAAACTATATTGTTCTTCGTTATTACCATTCCTTTTATCTCATATCCCTGTTTACTGTCTCTATTATGCATTTCTCCTACTTTCTTCTCTTGCTTTGTGTGCTGCATGTAGTGTGGCGACTAGAACTGCTGCAAATCGGTGCAGAGTTCTATGTTGAAAACAGACAGACAGAGTGTCATGCATCTAATCCTTCGACTCTTTGAAGCAGACAGAATTCTTTCAGTCTCTTCCTCACAGAGCGGTATGAAATGCTGTCGTTAGATGGTTGGAGACAATCAGCAGAAAGTCTTTGACCTACGTCGCGTATTTATTAGCACTCACCAGTCAGCGACACATATCTTGAAGGAACTCATGTCGCTTTTGAGATTCTAACCCACATGAACACCAAGACCTACATGCATGACAGTAGTTACTACTAAGTGTGTAATCAAGGTGTCCATTACAATCCAAGGAAGGATCAGTCGTAAGCCCCGATAGCTCAGTGGTAACGTCTCTGACTGTAGCACTTATTGACACGGATTCGAATCTCAGAAGATACATTGATTACCTCGCGATTTCAGATACGCCTTGATGCCTGGCGAGTGTCAAAAAGCACGAACCCTCGGTCGATAACCTCATGTCTATTGCCTCCAAGCATCTAATCAAACCTACGTCGCTGATCAACACAGTTGAAGTAATATGAGATTGGTAGAGCTTCCGGTGTGACCAGGCTGAAACTATGACGACACTGACAATTATTTTTAACTAATCACTAGGGTATAAGCTGTCTTCCTGGGGTTGTCGAAATATTCAGGGTTTGATGAATCATAGTGATATAGTTCAAAAATGGTTGAAAATGATTTAGATGCATTAGCTATTTACTGCCTTGAAAATTCAAGACATTTTACATGACATCCCAGTAACTCATTCCATCTCCCACACTAATATTTGTCTATTGAATTATAAATACAATTCTGTCTCGTTGTTTGCTTACATTTTGTTTCTAAGCATTGTGGGCGCTTGCGCTAATGCATTCATGTGCATGGTTATCAATTATTTATGCTACATCTCCAGCAGTTTACGAAATCAGGAGCATATTCCATTCGAGTGACTGAATGGCAGTGTAGCTGAATAATTGCTCGGGAAATTCCTGATGAACAATCCAGTTACAATACAGATAATTGATTATTTGCGTATTTCAACTAACTTTGTAGTTATTTGCTCCTTCCCTCCTAGTTTATATATGATTTTTCTGACATCTGCATATCAGATGTTGACTTGACCTTAATTATTAGTCTTCGTACTGTTTAATCTCTAGTTTTAATCCTTCTCTTTGACTCTGTGCGGTGATATTCATGTGTGGTTTTACGACGTCGATTTCGTTTGAGTGAATGAGAGTCATTCTCACCTTGAACTATGTGCGAGAAATTATTGGTGTGTGAATCTTGTGGACAGAGTTTCGATTCTACTTTGTTGGGTGTATTCCACTTGACTCTAAGGTACTTCTCATAGTTGAACTTGGGTTAATTAATTTTATTCTAGAATACTTGTTTTCCAAAGAGGAAAATTATCTGATCTGTATAATTGTCTAACACCATTGATGAAGTGATCTTGACTATGTGATATGTAATTATTGATAAATAGTACCGGAGATTTTATGTCAAATAACTGTCTTTTCTCTGTCGTTGAAGCATTCTGTGACTGTCAGGAGCTCAAGGAAGTTTCAATCAGCTATACAGTAGAACACAAGGATTGGTTTCCCTGAATTCATACGACAAGACGTTGGTTTTTCATTGTTATAGATAGTGTTTATAGTGGGACATTTCATGGTTCTGTGTGTCATATCCTATATTCAATCTTCATTGCCCACCGCTCACCAGTATACTATACTACTTTTCATATATTTCTTAGACTAATTTCATCGTTTGTTAAAAAATCCCACTAACTACTATTTTATAAAAAGAAAACCCACAGAAGTTTTTTAATCATTCCACATTAAAGGCGAAATGGATGGAAAAAGGTAGAACGTTCCTTTTCTTTTCTTTATTCTTCTTCTTCTTCTGCTGCTGCTTTTTTTACACTTTCGAAGTGCATGCAGAACACAAAATCGATCGAAGAAAAAAACGCATCCATTCAAAATTGTTTTCCGCCTTAAAAATGATTAATTACACATATGTATATATATATACACTTACAAAAGCAAGAAAAAAGCGAATACAGACTCTGAAACTAACCACTGGACAGAAAGATGATAAATTCTGTAATGTAACAAGTTCATAATTTTTCTCCGGATCTCTTTCACTACGTTCTTCAGTTCTCTTTTGGAATCAATAGACATGAAAAAAAATAAAATAAAAAGAAAAGAGAAGTGGAATATGTGGATTTGGTATTTCAACACACAGGCTCTCTGTTCCACGCTTAAGATTCAATTACACAATTCGTGTATCAAACAGGTAGTGCAGACTTTTTAACTGTTATTAATAAATTTGAATAAGGCATTAAGAAGACAAATTTCGCCGCGAGATGATATCTTCATTTCGTAGTTTCTTTACAACCGCTTTACAACTAACGTGGTTAACAATGATAAAATAAAGTTCATGAAAATTATTCAGTTAAATAAAAACAAAAGTACACACTGATGACCAATCATATTTAGATAGGTCATGTAGTCCAGGGTAGGCGAAGATTGAAGTCTATTGATTTTTGTACACACAGTTTAGGCTGTATGTGATTAATCCCCCAAAGTGCTTCCATCACCTCCAATAACCAACCTTGAATTGGAGTTATGTGATGGAATAATTGTGAAACAGTCATTAGTATTGATTTTGTGACCAGACATTAATAAGTGTTTTGCAATGGATGATGCTGGATTTCTATTAAGATTAATCGCGTTGGGATTTTCGATATGGTTTACTAGCCATTTTGGAATATGTTCTTTTCGACGACATTGGAACATTCTGTTAGTTCTACCTATATAGGTGTCACCGCAGCTGCAGGTTCCAATGTCGTCGAAAAGAACATGTTCCAAAATGGCTAGTAAATCATATCGAAAATCCTAACGCGATAAATCTTAATAGAAATCCAGCATCATCCATTGCAAAACACTTATTAATGTCTGGTCACAAAATCAATACTAATGACTGTTTCACAATTATTCCATCACATAACTCCAATTCAAGGTTGGTTATTGGAGGTGATGGAAGCACTTTGGGGGATTAATCACATACAGCCTAAACTGTGTGTACAAAAATCAATAGACTTCAATCTTCGCCTACCCTGGACTACATGACCTATCTAAATATGATTGGTCATCAGTGTGTACTTTTGTTTTTATTTAACTGAATAATTTTCATGAACTTTATTTTATCATTGTTAACCACGTTAGTTGTAAAGAGGTTGTAAAGAAACTACGAAATGAAGATATCATCTCGCGGCGAAATTTGTCTTCTTAATGCCTTATTCAAATTTATCAAAGGGACTAAGTGTTTTAATGTTATTAATAAAATAAATAATGTCAATGTGAGTTAATAAATAGAATACACTTAATTTAATTTAGGTTACACTCAGTTTCAGTAATTACTTCTGATATATTAATGTTATCATGTAATTTATGTGTTTGTAGTGTTCATATATATTAATTATTGACTTTTTCGCTTTCATATTATATCTATGTTTATCGATGTATGTAATGGCTGGAAGGTTTCATCATGAACTAACAACAGCTAGAGAACCAATTGAAAACCTGCAGAGAGTACTGGACAGCTGTTTCGCCCTAGTTTCAGACCGTTCATCAGTACGCACAAGTAGGGTGCAACGGGTTGGAGGCAAGGCAGTAACTCATCGAAGAACACAACACGAAGTGGTCGAGCTATCTCATGAATTAGCAGAAGTTAAAATTCATGGACTGGACATTGGATCGAATCCCAGTGGCTTGATGGTCCACGAGTTACCTCACCTTGTAACCAGAAGGTCCTGGTTTTTGAATCCTTGTTGTGCGTACTTACTGATGAAGAGTCCCCAATTAGGACGAAATGGCTATCCACTACTCCCTGCAGGTTTTCCAATGTTTTTCTAATTGATGTCAGCTCATGATGAAATCGTGTAACCAATAAAAAAATGCACTCTAGTTCAATATCATCTATAACCTGTCGTCGAAATGAAATTAACCCTCCTCATCGATAGCACTTTGTTTTACGAATATAACCATGTGAACAGACTGAAAACACTCATCTCTAAAAACTTCCATCAAAAAGCGAAATTCTGTAAGTTACTTTCAGAAGTGTAGCTTTCAGTTAAGTAATGCCGAAACAATTTATTTCCACTTCAATGGAATTTGATTAGTGCTTACTATGACTATCAAATAACGGCTAAGAACTGCTTTGAACAAGGGTTCAACAATTCGGGTAACACAGTAATTCCTCTCCGATGACAGAGACTAATGATTGTGCTACATATATATATATATATATATATATATAATTCACGGACCAGTGCCCACCCACTAACCGGAAGATCCTAGGTTTCATCCTCAGCTTGGTGAGTAATACTAAAGAGTTAGAATCTATGATGAGATAGTTCTCCATTCAATACTTCCTGGTTTCCTAGTGGTTCTTTGACTGATGTCAGCCTGAGATCAGACGCCTGTAACCAATCAAATGCCAGCAAACTGAGATTGTGTGAAACAGAAAAAAAGTTAGTTAGTGATTTAACATTTTTGAAAAAAGAAGCATCATTGAAATACTTACCACTGCTATCTTTTTTTCAAATTCATAGATGGCATCAATTTTGTCCTGGGAAGATTCTGGTACACCGAGTAGGAGTGAATAGTTGCGCATGAATCTTCGGAAAGCTTCAGTTTTCTGAATATAACGAATGATGAAAGATGATTATTCGTTATCAAACATAAAAGAGGTTTTTTTATTATTTAGATTATAGGACTTATTGAAATTTTCGATTGATTTCAATAGTTAGATGGCATCAGTAAGCAAATCTCAGTTAGAGAAATCATTAAGACAATGGATCATTGGACAGCCAGCTGCTCTGTCCTATTTCACGACTCATCACCAATACGAATCTACCACGACCACACCAGAGAACGGACTTGACATCTTCGGACTACGAATTCAAGCTCGTTGACGATTCAGACACTTAGGCTGGGGTTCAATGACCTCTGAATTGCAACTTTATCAACTCGTGATACAATGCTACCCTCAAGAATAATTTCAGTGAGTTTCCACTTCGCTTTGTCATGCTGGGTTCCACTGGTGATCTTTGTATCTATTGCTGGTTTGTAAAGAATTCCGAAGAGTGAAATTAAGTTATTATTATGATAGAATTAAAATGAACATCGATCAGTGGATCGATATAAAAATATCACATTATATTTTAAGGCAAAAGAAGACGACTAGAACTCTGAACTTCCCTATACCCAGCTATTTAGTTAGTTAGCTAGCTAGCTAGTTGATAATTTATTTAGTTAGTTAGCTAGCTAGCTAGTTGATAATTTATTTAGTTAGTTAGCTAGCTAGCTAGTTGATAATTTATTTATTTAGTTAGTTAGCTAGCTAGCTAGTTGATAATTTATTTAGTTAGTTAGCTAGCTAGCCAGTTGATAATTTATTTAGTTAGTTAGCTAGCTAGCTAGTTGATAATTTATTTATTTAGTTAGTTAGCTAGCTAGCTAGTTGATAATTTATTTAGTTAGTTAGCTAGCTAGCTAGTTGATAATTTATTTAGTTAGTTAGCTAGCTAGCTAGTTGATAATTTATTTATTTAGTTAGTTAGCTAGCTAGCTAGTTGATAATTTATTTAGTTAGTTAGCTAGTTAGGTAATTATCAGAATCATCTTCAGAAACCAATGGAAAATATACTGGAGATTCACTCTGAGAGACTTTAAATCTGTTGACTTTGGTAGAAGTGAAATCATATAAGAAATGAAATGTTGATATCTCCAGATTTCACAAGATGTATGAGGCTGTCATAGAAGATCGAATTATTGTCGCTTTCATATTACAAATAACTCGAAATCAAAGTTAGACAAAATGACCAAGCTGATTAACATGATACATTTACTAAAACTTTTCGCGATAAAATTTACCTGCTCCTGTGAAGCTAGGCTTACTGACCATTTGAGTCAGGTTTTGTCCAATGGGATGAAAGGACGCTACTCTCCGCGATAACGAAGAGGTGGGAGTAGGGCTGTTAGAAGTGCAACTACTGAACATCTGGTTTAAACTGGTCCCTCTGTCTCTACAGTCTCTTCCGTTAAATTTATCTACACACCAAAAATAACCTGCCTAAATCATTAGGTATCTCTATTCATTTGTATTGCTGAGGCTTTCGTCATCGAAATGGAAAAGCCAGATGTTTGCAGTGAGAAAAAGTTTGTTCAATGCCTTCAACTCTCATGGTAATGATCCGTCTATTTCAGAGCATGATAATCCCTATTCATGATCTGGTCATACTTATTTTTCGTTTCGTCTATTCAATTTGCTCATTCATCTCTTATTATGTTAACTGTTATTAAGAATTTTACCTCTAACAATTTACGGTATTATCTAAGCTATCACCTTTATTTATTTATTTAAGTCAGCAAAGTTTTCGCAATGTTGTCTAACGATGATTATCACCTCATTGCGTGATGTTTTAATTCCATACCACTTTTATTATTCCTATATCTCTCTGAGATCTGTACATTCCATGAACTACTTTATTAGGTACAAAAACAATTATATTTGTCACAGTTCACATCATATATACATATATATGATACCACGCGCGTGATTCGGGGTTGGATTCCTGGCTGACTCACTCCTCTCTCCCGCTGAGCTGGCTATAAGCTGGTAGAGGAGGAAGGTGGGGCGTGAGTCTAGCAACGTCACCCTAAAAAGAAAAACATCACTACTACTGAAACTCTGAACCTTGAAGCCCTGTGTTTCACTTGGAACAAGAATGAATTAAATAAATAATATACGACTGTACAGCCTGATGATAAATTCCCCGAAAAGAGAGTCTTCGCTGAATCACTTGACCTGATTTTCTATAGTTAAAATGAACAGATTAAGAACTATGTTGCCAGTCGGAGGATTTCATCATGGGCTAACTTAAGTAAGAGAACTACTGGAAGATCAGCAGTTAGTACTGGGAAGCTGTTTCGTCCTAGTTTGAGACTCTTTATCGTTGCGCACCCAACGGCAGGATTCGAACCCAGGACCTTTTGTTTACAAGGCTAGCTAGTGGACCATTAAGCTACAAGGTGTTGATTCAATGGCCAGTCCATGAATCCTAACTTTTGCCTAACTTCTTGCAACAACACGACCACTTCTCACTTCACCTTCAACCCTGCTGCACCCTATTGGTCACGGCTTCCCACTAGAACCCCAGGTTAACTGTCTGAATAGGACCAGTCGCTAGTGAGCATGTAAGCATGAAAACTATGTGGTAAAGTGAGTAGGAGTAAGTATCAGAGAGCAAGGAAGCATTCCCAAGCATTGAGTGTTCTCACACAAGGGTTAAGTTTTATTGTAAGAATGTGTTAGGAGAAAGCAAAGAGTCTAATCGGAATAGGCAACACCAATGAGTGTTTTTTTAGAGTGATTTTAAACTCTTGATACATGTTAGTCATATAGGCTGTTAGGCTTTTGTACAAAACAAGCGAATAAATTTCGTTCCAAAAAATATTTTGGAGGTTTCATTCAGCTTATTCATTCAAATGCAAACATTGAACTTTGAATTTCATGGTTTTATAAACAAAAATATTATTTTAAAGGGTGTCTGGTAGCTTTTAATTTATTTACGCCGCTGCCAATATGATGGTGACCTTTATTGATACACTAGCATTAAAAAAAACAGTCCGTCTAGCTAACATATTAGGGATAAAGAACAGCCATGAAATATAATTACATATCTTACTTAAATGTTAGTAATTTGAGGTATTCATTACAACAATCCAAAGAACGACTAATTTATCAGACTTAGGAATATTTTCTTGAACAATATATATATATATATATATATATATATATATATATATATATATATATATATATGAGTGGCCTTTGCTACATTAGCGGTAGCGACCAACCTGACATAAAATGCGTTAGTAGCGTATTTACGCTGTTGTAAATCCTCTTTGTGACACGCAGTACAAGTTTCTAACCGATATGGAAACATTGACCAGCTGACTTCACATTTCTGTTTAAAATCTGAATACTGTTCTTCATGCTGGCTGAGAGAAACAGGAGATCTCCAAACTGGTTTCAAATTGATGAAGACGTATCTTGCCTTTTGAATTCTGGCTGGCTGGCTGTCACTGACATCTTTATCCATTCTGCTGGCCTGGGGTTGAAACGGTGCAGAAAGTAGCCTCTGTCAAATCTCTCCCGTTGATGGTGATTGACGATGGTTGTTGTTGCTGCTGCTGCTGTCGGTTGGTTATCTTCATCACCTCCGTCTTCTGTATGGCCACCAGGAGTCCTGTCTCCAGTTTAGAGTCTTATTATCGGTAGTGCAAAGTATTCCTGTCTCCTCGCTCCCCACAGTCTGATGCATAATCCATTCCTCCACAATTAAGAATATTATCGGTGAGAATAGGCAGGCAGCCTTGTCTTACGCCTTTATGCACTTCAAATGCCTTGCTGAGTTTTCTGTTGTGAACCAGCTGACATGTGACACTATCATATGGCCGGCTGTTAAATTAGATTGATAGAGACTTGAGCACAGCATGCCGTAAAGTTGAGGCAGTTTCCAAATAACTTCTCGTGACGAACATAAATCCTCTGAAACCGTCTGTGCAAACCCACCACTGCATAACAGAACTCAACGCTCAAGAGCTAAAGGCCCTCAAAAAGCTGAAAAATAGGAAGGACATCGTCATTTTACCAGCCGACAAAGGAAGAACAACAGTAGTCATGGACAGAGAAGAATATACCAAGAAAGCAGAAGAACTACTCAAAGATGAAGATGTATATCAACAACTCCCAACAAATCCCATACAAACATTGGATAACCGCATCCAAAGGACCTTAAACAAGCTCACCAAAACTGGACAGATCACAAAACAAGACCAATGGCGAATGAAATCCAATGGACCAGTCCTACCCCGATTCTACGGCAGACCCAAAATACACAAGGCAAATATCCCATTACGACCAATTGTATCACTCCCAGGAACTCCAACATATAATTTATCCAAAGAATTATACAGAAAACTAAAACACCTAACGGAATCTTGCGATCACTCCATCAACTCTGCTATCCAATTCCTAGAGAAAATCAGAGGCATCCAAATAGATGAACAAGAAATAATGGTATCATTCGACGTGACAGCATTATATACATCCATCGGACAAAACCTAGCAAAAGAAACCATGGAGCAACTACTTAGCAACGACGAACAACTGCCACAACAATCAAAAATGCAACACACAAGCTGGATGGAATGCATAAATCTATGCCTAACAACATACTTCCAATTCAACGGCCAAATATATGAACAAGTCAAAGGAACACCCATGGGATCGCCAATATCAGGTTTGATTGCAGAAGCAGTGATGCAAAGACTCGAAAATATAATTCTACCAAAGATCAAACCCAAGATTTGGATACGCTACGTCGACGACACATTTGTAATCATCAAAAGAAACGAATTAGATAAAACTCACAACTTAATAAACAACGTCTTCAACGACATCAAATTCACAAGAGAAGAGGAATCCGAGAACAAAATACCATTTTTGGACGTCTTAGTCAGGCGAACAACTACAGGAGAATTAGAAACTCAAGTTTATAGGAAATCAACTCACACAGACCAAATACTGAATTACAACAGCAACAACCCAATAACACACAAAAGGAATTGCATACAAACACTATTCAAGAGGGCAAGGACTCACTGCAGCACTCCCACCTTAAGAAAAATTGAAGAAAAGTATCTCATGGACGTCTTCCAAAAGAATGGATATCCACGGAATTTCATCAAGAGACATATACCCCCAAGCCAACCTACCAAAGCAAAAGCCACCAAGGAGAACACAAAGAAAATTGCCTTACCATATATAAAAGATATCTCAGAAATCACTACAAGACTCTTCAAACCTTTAGGAGTTGACGTCGTACACAAACCAACAAAGTCGCTTCACTCAATTCTATGTCAACCAAAAGACTCAACAGCGAAAGAAGACAAAACCAACATCATCTACAAAATAAACTGTAACAACTGCGAAAAACACTACATTGGCCAAAGTGGACGTCCCCTTCGTCTTCGTATCCACGAACATAAGCTAGCCGTCAAAAGACATGATATCCACTCCCTCATTTCACTACACACAGACAACTACGGACATCAATTCGACTGGGACAACGTTCAAATATTAGACAAAGGAAATAACAAGAATGCTAGAGAATTTTTAGAAGCTTGGCATTCCAGTGAATCATCAATCAATAGACACATCGAGATAGACAAAATTTATCAACCAATAAGAAAGAAACTTCACATACAAAGGGTCAAAGTTCAAGTCAAAGAAACAACCGGTTCCAATACAAGTAACCTAGAAGGTGTGAAAACACACACAAACAACCAATCACGTCCAAGGTCACCAGGAGAGATGATTAATAAACTCGTGGAGAAATCTAAAAGCTCACTTCAAATTGAAGTATGCGCTGAAGATGTCACCCAGTAAGGTGATGAAAGCTTCGCAAACTAACCATCCAGCTCAGAGAACAAAACCACATCAGAAAGGTAGTTAGCTCCATAATCAGTGTATGTTAAGGAAAATCGAGTATTCATCAGGTGTTATGATAATTCGTTTGTAGGTATGAACGTATCAGGAAAACACCTATCCCAAATGCTGAATAAAATTATTTGCAAATATAATTAGATGAACATGAATACGCTTTGTGAAAGGACATCTCTGATTTATTTATTACCATGATGAGTGTAGCTCTGCACTCCCACAAAGATTTGAAGCTACAACGGTGGAGTCATATCATATTTTCAGAATGAGTAAATTAGACACTTTAAATATTACAAAGCTATTTACAGTATGCTCTGACCAAATTGGAATTGCGGCGCATGCTACTGATAAGATTTATAAGTAGTATATTAAGAGACGTTCATCGGCATAAAAAACATCAAATAGCAGGAGATAGATTTCATGTCAGAGAAATCAAATAATACTGCGTCGTGGAGATACATGAGAGATGCGAAAGGAATACAATATGAAGGCCAGAAGAAGCACAAGTAGCACGCAAGATCTGTGCAAATGATGATCTGAAGATAAGGTGTACATAATTTGGCTATTTTGGAGAGACACCGGATTGCAAATAAACCTTCCTGTACCAAGTTTCTCGTCTTCTACCGTCATAGAATGACCAATCGAGGATCACAAATGTTTCATTACCAACAACTTATCTCTTTTTATAATAAACAATCAAACAATTTCCTCAAATAAACATAAAAATATGAGATAGAAGATATTGGAAACAAGACGATGATTTGTACAACCTTGCAGTTTCTTTTGGTCAGAGGCTATCAGAAAAGATGCCATTGTTACTTGCAAATTGAAATGTGTACACATTAATCAGGCTTTCTTCTATTTATATATATAACATAATATTAAAGAATTGAAACTCACTTTTGAGTAAGTTGGATAAGAATCATTTACGTAATATTCTCGTTGTAGACTCAGATATCCTTCTAAAAGCTTTATCAAAAATAAGGAGAAAAAAATAACGATTCCACTAAATGTATTGAAACCAATTGGAGGGAGAGAAAAGGTTGATAAATAAGTATAAAATGTTTCAAACGATAAATTATATAATACCAAAGTGTGATACAAGTGTAACAACAGAAGACAAGGGCCAGGCAACAGATCCTTTTATTATGAAAATCAACACGTATTTATACATATTTCAACAACATTATTATAGACAAGCGCAGTCATCTGATTGGTTGTTTAGGTAGACAAACGCAGGCTTCTGATTGGTTGTTTCGGGATTCCTTGACAAATAGAGTTCTCTATCTGCGAATCATATTTTGCCACGTTAACTTTGCTGTGATTGGTTGTTGACTCAGCCTTGTTCATATCTTCTCACGGCCCACATTAGTGACCTAGACCTTAACGTAGATTAGTGCCAACCAATCGGCTAACAGCCTGCTCTCACCACACTCGTCCCCCCGTCAAATACGTGCGACTGAAGTCGGCTTGATCTACTTGGTGCAGGCGTCATCGTTGGCTTGTCTCGCTGTATCCATTTCTGGAGCTCGCTGACGTTCACGCGCCTCTTATTGTTCGCCATTGCGACTGTGTCTGCGTAACCCCATCTCGAAGTGACCATATATGGTCCTTCCCACTTTGGAAACTGTTTGCCTGACCCTGTCGAACATTCGTCCATACTTCGGCCCACACCTTCATATGCTGCTTTCGCCCGACCTCCCAGCAGCGTCTCAAGTAGCAGCTCCATCGCTGACAGATCTTGAACGCCACTCAACTGCGCAGAAGCCTTGAAGTCCTGCCCGAAGATCCATATGTCTCCATCAAAAACTGCAGGGTATAGGCTTTTCATTTGTCGGTAGGCAGCGACACCAAATGTAACAACAGAAGACAAGAGCCAGGCAACAGATCCTTTTATTATGAAAATCAACACGTATTTATACATATTTCAACAACATTATTATAGACAAGCGCAGTCATCTGATTGGTTGTTTAGGTAGACAAACGCAGGCTTCTGATTGGTTGTTTCGGGATTCCTTGACAAATAGAGTTCTCTATCTGCGAATCATATTTTGCCACGTTAACTTTGCTGTGATTGGTTGTTGACTCAGCCTTGTTCATATCTTCTCACGGCCCACATTAGTGACCTAGACCTTAACGTAGATTAGTGCCAACCAATCGGCTAGCAGCCTGCTCTCACCACACAAGTATTGATTATTCCGCTTACTTTTTCTTAATATTCAAGAGTTAGTGTGTAAGGATTTGATTTGTTTCAAGTTTGACTAAGGATTAAATTTCAGGCAGAGAACCTCTGAAAACAAGCATGGAATACTGTACATGTATTTCGTCCCATTTTTGGACTCTTCATGGTACGCACTCACCATGGATTGTTAATAAGACCTTGCAGTTACCATTCAATCAGTGGGTTTCAATTGTATGGTGGATGAATTCAAACTTTTACTAATTCATGATTTTAGCGCGCCCACCAGTCAGTGTCATCGGCAAGTATTTGACTTCATATCCAACCTGGTCGACTTCAGTGGTCACAAATTCTGACTAAAACTCCAGAAAAATTTTTTTCTGTACCCAATCACTAAAGATAATCAGATTATTTTTCTTGAGTTATTTTGTAAGGATTCAATTGAGTTCAGAGTTGAACACGGATTGATCTCAGTTAGATAACCACTGGAGACCAGGCAGTACTGGACAACCAGCTATTTCGACCTACTTTGGGACTCTTGAGCAATACGCATCCATGAGCCTATCACCAAAGAACAAAATTATTACCTACAGACGACAAAACGAGATAGCAAGCCATAGAATCCAACGTTTCACGAATTCCAACCTCTACCGATTCGCGAATAGTACAGTATTCTCCACCGCCAACTAATGTTATCGGCAAGTATACGTACTCACACTTATCTTCATGCATTCCAGTGGTCACAATTTTTCGCTAAAATTTCAGGAAACTTCATCCTAAAGTCAGTTATTAGAGAGATTGTTCTGAAGTGTGATCAAGATTGACTGCTCTGAATACATATCGCGAATGTGTAGAAGTCAGAATTAATAGGTTATTGCATTTCCGCATGGTGGTTGGATGGTAAACGAGCTCGCTTCATAACCTGAAGCTCCTGAGTTCGAATCCTGGTGACGTCGTGGGTGTTTGTCCTACTGATGATTATCAAACTAAGACGAATCAGCTGTCCAGTGTTTTTTGATTTTTAATGGCTCTCTAAGTGAAATAAGTTCATGGTGAATATTGTAAAATTAATAGAAATTACATCACCATATGTTTTTGAAGAAAATATTAAGCTGGTACTTGAATCAGTAGCTTTTCCCATTGATGCAATATCACAAATAATGATCCTACATTCATGAAATGATACTGAACAACTGCGGCTTAGTTAGTGATTGCTTTGTTGGTATTTGTCCTCTCGGAACTTAATATTTGTCTAGAATACCAATTTCAATGCTCTTTCCTTTCCAAATATGTAATAAGTAATTATGAAAACAGTAAAATCATTATATTTCTGAACATCATCCTTCATGGTCAAGCAGGAGACAAACAAGATCTATTCGCAACTCTGTTTTAGCACACCTTGTAGACAGTGACGACATATAGTTGGTGTTAATATAACATTTAAAATGGTTTGCCATATACCAATTAATCTTAATTTTGCTTTATAAGTTCATCTTTTACATAGAGTTGAAACCATTGGAATCCATCCGAAGAAGCCAGACGTGTATGCTCAGAAGAATTTCCTACGGTCACTGTCTTTACCTTGACCATCGTTATATGAATACCAAAACTGACTATTTCTTCCTCCCCTTAAGCCTTTTAAAAATTATCGCTGTCCAAATTGTTTTATATTTTTTCTGACTACTCTATCTTTGATTCTTCAATACGCAGTCAGCTTGAAAACTTAGTTATTCCTTAACTATTCTTCATTTTTACAAAATTACTCATTATACAATCAACTTCTACACCTTAACTGTTTTGTAATGATTTTCTTGGTAAATTGTCACCCGTCTCTGATGTGTTGATACTGACTAATTGTTTCTGACGAACATATCACCATTTCATCACGAGCTGACATCAGTTAGAGAACCACTGGAAAACCTGGGAGTACTCGACAGCTGTTTCGTCAGCCTAGTTTGGGACTCTTCATCAGTACGCACCCACCGGGATTCGAACCCAGGACCTTCTGGTTACAAGGCAAGCTCCTATACCATTCAGCCACTGGGACTCGATCCAGTACTCCCAGGTTTTCCAATGGTTCTCCAACTGATGTCATCTCATGATAAAATCCCGCAATCAATCAAATCCCTACAAACCAACACTTGAATATCGCCATCTGATGGGTAATGCATTAAATATGCTATATATATATATATATATATATATATATATATATATATATTGGCGTACAGCCATAGATGAGGATCTAATTGACCTTTGACCTAAAGTAAATATTTCTTCACTCAGTCATTTTGCCTTCTAAAAGTAACGAATACTTGATAGAACGAATATTACACACACTGTGAAAAACCAGACTACAATTTTGATCTGAAATTTCAGAGGCTCATCATAAAACTGCAAAGTATACAAGAATATATATATGTAGCCACATGTGAAGTCGTTACAGTCAAATAGTAAACTGCTTCGTTAATAAAATCCATCAGTGTGGAATGCTATCAGATGAATAATAAATGGCTAATACATAGAAATACTATCACTTACACTAAGAACAAATCGAGAAGAATTCATATGATCCTGTTCAACTAGAATACGACAGAGTGGTATTGTACCAGCATACTTCAACAAAGGTAAGTACATATCAGTTAAATCAAATGTTTTTGGAAGAAAATTGTTATCATTTTCATTTCTGGCGCCTGGATTCCCTTTTGGTAGTAATAACCAACCTTTGAATATCTTTTGGATAGACTCATACAGTGGTGTGAATCCCCGACTCTCGATAAAAGATTCATTCATACAAGATCTGTAGTAGATTTGAGCCATTTGGAAACCTCGACTCTTATCTGTATGTGAAGAATTCTCTGTAGTAGGTTTGAAAAACAAATAAAACTGACTACTAAACTGTATAGAAAAGTCTTTTAAAAGTAGTAATTAAACCATAAATAAGATAATATACACCTTATACATCGAACAAACAAATTATTATTTCTTTAGCTTCCAAGTAGCAAGTGATCTTCAAAAGCACGCCTCAACTTTGTCCTGTTATCTGCAGTCCCCTTTTCTGGCCAAACGGTTGACCATAGGCTCTTACCTCATCCTCACACGATCTGCTACATGTCACCCTCATATATACACCCAACTGTTCGTTTCCCATTCGGGTGCCACTTGGGCGGTGTAGTGACGCTTGCTTTCACCCGAATATCTCCTCAACTTGTTCCTGATCTATCTTCATTTGCTTCTGCAAATTTGTTAAGCAATAGATAACTTAATGGTTTGTTACCAGAGTTTCTTGTTGATGATCCTTTCTAGTTAGTCATCTGATCTTCAGAATGAAGCCAGAGAGAGCAGCTGTTAATAGAGGTCTGCAGTAGCCTTTTAGAACTGCTTTTTGTGACGCGACAAGTTTCTGACGCATAAAGAAGAACTGATCGAATTGATAGTGATGTTGAGAATCTGAATTTGAACAAACACAATGTGAGAGATAATTCAGTCACTTGATAGTTATTTTGAAACAGTAGTTCTCTGAATGAAATGTAATTTATTGAATTCAAATAATTCGAAATCTCTGTAATAGTACTGACCACTAAGTAGTATGAAAATTGCTTCAAAACTACGGAGTATACTGGACCTTTATCAATCTCATTTTACAGCTTTATAACAATACTACGTATCAAGTGATCCATAGCAAAAAGTCAGCGAAGATGCCATTAAAGTGAAGATGGGAGGGAGACAAGGTTACCATCCTACTATCACCTATTATATTCCTGGCCATTGTGGACTAAATCATCCGACAGACTGTGGGGAGCAAAAATACATGTATAGTTTGAACCAATAGGAAGAGTCTAGAAGTAGCAATCAATATCGACGGGAGAAATGTGAAATGGCAGCATCTTTTCAACTATAGGCAATCGACACGGATGAGGATATCAAAGCGCGAATTAGAGAGGCAAGACAGACCTTCATCACTCTGAAATCAATTTGGAAGTCTGATACACTCTCCATAAACAAAAGAAATTCTGATTTCAGACAATAATGTCAAGTCAATCTGTGTTTCTACATGCTTCAGACACCTAGTGCGCCACCGAAAGCAGTTCTAACAGGATTCATGGTTTAATCAAGAGATGCCTTCACTCAAAACTGACTGAAGATCAGATGACAGTCCTGAAAGGATTAGCAACAAGGAACTATGGGAACATAACAACCAAGAATGCATAGCCTAACAGTTATGTAGAAGAAACTGTAGATGGATTGGACATACGCTGATGAGACCGATGAAGAAAATTGCACGTCAGGTCCTAGAATCGGGTGGGAATGGGAGATGGCACGTCGGGGTTGTCTCCGGGTGTGACATAGAAGATGTTGTGTGAAGAGAGTAGGGATGAAGGCTAATGGGCAAGGAAACAGTCGGTTAAAGTCGACTACAGAAAACAGGACAAAATGGAGACATACTGTTGAAGCCCCATGTTTCATTCGGAATTCAATGAACTAATAACAAATAAGATTAGAATAAAAAAAATGACAAGTTAATAAAGTGCTCGACTGTTGGTTTATACCACAAAGAGAATTGTAGACTGTTTGTCTGAAGCTTCTGAGATTCTAATAAACAGTGTCTGCAGTCTGTTTGATTACATAGCACAAAGTCATTTTCACTGGCGTGGATATATTCAACCCTAGGAATCTGCTAAACTTTAAAAATCCTCACTATTCTTCTTACATCGTTTTCTTATTGCCAAATATATCTGTTTATTGTAATTCTAATACTTTTCTTGCTCTAAACCCTTACTTTCACTTGTGTGTTTTCATGAACACAGTAACAAATCTAACTACCTCACTTCTGTGGAAATGTCTACGTTGACAATTTAACTAATCACAGTTCATTTTTATGCAGGAGTATGTCGACATACAAGTCACATCTATTTTGCTAAAAAAAACAAAGTGGTTGGATTATTATCGAACTACATTCTACCTGATTGATTACAGCTATCGGTATCTGGGTGTTATAATCTTTTATTTCAAAGCGAGAATGAATTTTATTTTCAGAAAGGAAGCTTGGAAGTATCTGGTTAGCAAGCACTACTGGTTGGCGTTGGTGGCATACAGTTACTCTTATCACTTAATTAGTAGTACATAGAGCGTCATGAATCCGTATATCCTACAGTGTGTAACAAAGATATGATAGTCTCGAAAGTGTTGTGCATCAGGTGACAGTATCACATTTTGATCATTGATGTGGAAAGCAGGTTTTCTGTGAAGACACCTTTAATATAACTTCAAAGAGTTGGACATGTCAGGAATTCCGGTTAAGTTCTATAAAAATACTCCTAATCTAAAAATAATCTTTATATTTTCAAAATAAAACAGTTTACTAATGAACAAAATGATTATTTCAAGGATAATTCGGATGACCTCAACACCTACAGTAATCAGGATATCAAAAGGAAATTGTGGTGAGAATCTCACTCGTCGAACAGTGTACATTGGAAATTGTGAATTTGGTTTGTGATGTCATCAGTTTGCCAAAGTAGTTATACAAAAATTTGGTGGTCTCAACTAACTCGATTCTCTGAGCTAAGTCAAACCGCATGCACTGCCGATGAACTTCATCCCAAACAACCATCGGAGGTTTAAATCACTTCGATCTAAGATAACAAGCGGTGCTGGTTGCTATGAATGGTAGATAACTATTCACCTCAATCAATCATTGGTGCATATTCTCATAAAAACATGCTTTCTTTCTTAATTAGTATTAACGGTATCAAGCAGAACAGATGGTGTAATCTTAATAATTTGGTCTCCAAAATTGACTGCGGTGGAACTTCACCTCTCGAACTGTGTACATTGCATATTGTGACAAAAACCTGTTTCTCTACCTCAGTCCTTGATATGACCACTCACTTGTCTGAAGTTTATAATTAATATGAATGGAACTTAATATGAACATGACACATGATAATTTATTACTGTACATTCGTTATCACTCATAGTCATTTACTTTGTAATATCGGTGTTCAATTTAGTATTACAATTTTATATATTACCGTATATTCGCATATTTTTTAGACAACAATCTATTAACAATCAATTTGGAAATGACTTTTGCAATTATCATTTAAATGATTCGACTATAATGAGGGTTTTTGTATTTCCCAGTGAATGAAAAACAAAACGATATTGTTTTTGCCGATATTTCGCTATTTAATGCATTTAATACATTCCGAAAACATGAACCTCAACAGTCGTCATTCCATATAGAGCAGAGACATCAGATGATATCAGAAGAGTACTCAATCAGCTCGACATTAGAGTTTTCTTCAAAACATAGGACACACTTCAAAGCAACCTTGTCTATACAAAAGACTAAATCCCGAAAGATTCTCTAATTGTGTCTATAAAATAAAATGCTTGGAATGTGATGCGATATACATCAAACAAACATCTCGAGAAATCAAAATCAGAAGAAATGAACTCCGTAGAGCTGCATCTGTTCGACCATGGCGAAATCCTGTTGAACTAGAAAAACTTGAAAAATCATCAGCTATAGATGCTATAGAATCAGGCCACAAAATTGATTTCGACAATATTAAAATAATCCAGAAAAAGTATTTCAGAAATCACAAAGAAGGTCTAATATCATCAGAAGCACTTCATATCAAGTGGAATCCAAATTGCCTGAATATAAATGACGGACTAAAACAGAATCTGACTAGGTTACAACACCCCCTCCCCCTTGAAGTGGCAAAATCAACACAAATGTGACAATCAAGCTCACCATGTAAGCCCACACTACTTACACAATTTTACACACTGACAAAATCCAACAATCTACACTTGATTTTGTTATCTTTACGAATTGGCCAACTTGACAACGAAAAATGACCCCATACTGGCGAACGATGATCAAGTTAGTTAACTTTGTTTTGATATCATAATAGATGTACTATTACCTTTGAGGTGCGCAGCTGAAGCCCTATGTTCCTCTAGGAACTAAAGGATACAATAATAATATAATAATTACCTTTGATATTTGGTTTAGTGATCTTCACTGTTATTTTGACTTTCAATATGTCCTTTTAACTTGACCCAACTTGTCTATTTTCTCACCGCTTAACTCTTTGTTATATATATGCTGAGATTTTGTAAATTACGGTTTATTAATACTTTGATAAAGCTATTAGCATTATATAGAGAAACGTCAGTAAAAACAACAATATCGTTTTGTTTTTAATTCAATGGGAAATACAAAAACCTTCATTATAATGAATATCATATACCCAATGCCTTAAGTTGTTCATACTATTTAAAGTGAACTTGGTTTGGACATATATAACTTAAATGAATCGATGTTGCTCTTTTTAAAAAAAACCTACTAGTGTTGTCAATAACAATCATTCTTTTATTATTGTGAATATATAACTCCAGAACCTGATGATGAAGTTATTGAAAAGAGTATTCTTTGTTCACTAATCAATCCTTTGAAATTGTGAATTTGATTGAAGAGTCTGTCAGTGAAGCACTAATTGTATTTCCGTGACATGGACTTTACTTGAACGCTGAAATTCTGTATAACTAACAGTATTATAAACAGATTCCTCTGGAAATTACTGCTTTCACAGTGTAAATGAAGGGAGCGTATACACTGTAAAATTACAAAGCAGTTTCCTTCCCTAATGATACCATGTGTAAACTAGATTAGACTTGTAAGCTATCTAATGATTGCATCATTAAACATTTAGTGATACATTAGTAGAGCTCGTCGACGGTTCAGCGGTAGAACACTAACAAAACATGGATGTGGTCCTGGGTTCGACCTCCGGCCGACTCTCTCCTTTACTTCGCTAAGCCAGTAGTAAGGTCGATAAAGAGAGGTGATTTGGCGTGAGAATAGCAACCCTACCCTGAAAAACAAGACCACTGTTACCGAGCCCTCAAAGCTCTAGCTTGAAGCCCTATGTTCCACCGGGAACGTAAAGGATCATAATTATAAGTAATAATAACAATAGTAGAGTCCAGACCGATGATTTCGTTCACTTTTTGTTGACTGTGAAAAAAATTACACATTTTGTAAATCTTTTGTTTTAGTCGATATCTTTGTTTCAATAACACCCTTCGCTTTTGGTTGAAAAAAATCACAGGTCTATTTTGTCCTTCCTTCTTTATTCTCACTCTCCCCAGCTGTTCATCTGTCATAACAATTCTTGTTTGCTTACATCAGAATTTTACAGGAATCCCTCATCGTCATCCAAAGATGATTCAACAACCCCATGTCAACATCCTCAGTGGAGAAAATCACACCGAAGCATACACACTGAAGCGTACTTCTAGATTAAATTGTTTATTTAGTTGAAATGAACTCAGTCTGATAATGAGTAACTGTAATTTTCGATAATTCATTTACAGTAATATTCGTAATAAACTGTTTAAATATCTCTACTGATAATTGCGACTTTTATTTTTGATGTTTTATATTATTCCTGAGTTCAGTGTTTGTTCCCCCACACACTGTACTAATATTCATCCAAAATCTCAAGATATGCATTATCAATATGACTGTTCACTGAATTTATATTATTACCATTATTTGTTCTATTCTGTTGCATTCCCAGTGGAACATATGACTTCAGGCTTGAGCCATGAAGTTCCACTATCACTGGTATTTATCTTTTAAGTGAGGAGGGGTTAACAGCCCTACGATTGACCTTCCCTCTTTAATCGACCCACTATCAGCCGAGTAGAGCAAATGAGTGCTTCAGCCGAGGACAGAACCCCAGACCACATGGAGACTGGTTGGAGGGTACTCTATTTACTCCAAAATGAAACTCAACCGCCTAGTTGATCAAAACTTAATTCCATTCAGATAAGCCTACAAAATGAAACGACTATTTGAAAGTACTACTCATAAAAATAGTCGAAAAGTTTTCTTTCTTTCTTTTATTTTTGACTTACCAAGTAATTCTTTAGTGAAGTATTCACCATTTTTTGACAGTTTACGCATTATAGACCAGGCATTATGACCTTGTGGTATATGATTCTGTTTTATCCAACCATTACAGGCGTATGCATAGAAATCATCACAAGGCGATATACTTGTATCCATATGACTGAGTATTTCTGAAGACATTTTGATACATGTAGGTTGTAAACATGGTCGATCTGTAAAAGATGTGAATAGTTTTCATTTATTAGTACTGTTATATGGCTATATATATATATATATATATATATATGTAACCAACAGGAGAAGTTAGTAAATGGATACGTTTGCATTGTTAGGTACTGTTTGACATCATTATTCTACAAAATAAGTCACAGCCTTGTGAACATCATCATGATGAACAAAAACATATAACTAATGGCCAGAGGACAAACTAAGTGAATATTTGTCACCTTTGGTCACGAATCGACTTCAGTTAGACAACGGTCAAAGGTCACAGAGTCATGGACAGCTGTTTCGTGGCCTAATTTCGGTAATTCTTAGAAGCACGCACCCATTAACCATTATCCAAGCTAGGATCCTCAGGTTACAAGGCTATCTGAAACGGAATCCAGCAGTCCATAAAATCTAACTGCTACCAATTTGCGACAAATATAAGGCCACCTCCACTCAGTGTCATCGATATGCGTCCTTGAACCCAACTAGGTGGACCTCGCTGATCGCGATTTCCCTCCAGGACTCCAGGCTACTACATCGTGTAGTAAGCTACTCGTGAGCACTGTTGATTACTTCCTTCTGGCTTCCAGCGGTTCCCTAATTGAAATCAGTTCGTGATCAAATCCCTGCAAACTAACGCTTGAATATTAATCAATAGCTACTTTTCAAGTGGATCGCTAATGAGGAAAGTATAGGCAGGGGGATTTGACCAACGCATTAACTTCTACACGAAAGTACTAACTATAACACTGAGTGATGTCACTTAAGATCTTAATTTTTAAAAAATAGCCAGGTTTACGAATTTCTGATAACTTTCTGCAGCGGATAAATAATAATAATAATCTACTTTATTCCAAAACAGACAGTACTTATAATACAGAATGGAATTCTCAGCATTTGTCACAATTTCGCATCTGATTTACTTAAAATATAAATAAAATTAAAAATTAAAACAAAAGTAACCAGAGGAATTTGCCCGCGTTTACGATATAAAGTCAGAAAATATTCGTAGCATGAACTGAGATTATTAGATATAATAATAATAATAACAGTAAGTTTGTTTCAAACACTATTGTCGATTCAGTTTGAAAGTTTTAGCATGTTACTATAGAGTATTGGATCTAATAATCTGTTGATATAGTATAGTTAGGGGAAACACAAAATTAACAGTTAATAACACAGCTTAAATTATGTTCACCCTTATGAAAAAAAAGTAATCAAAAACAAAAAAAATTGAGAGAATTATAAATATAAGAAATACAATAACAGTACAGTTTGATACTGCGAGGATGGAAGAAATGGTTTATTCAGTAGTGCAAAGAAGGTTAGTTGGTTAGTTCATGCCTGACACTATTTTCATCACATAAAGTACGTGCCGCCAAATATGGCATAGTGGAATTTTTATACTTAGACATACGTGCATAAAGTCTTCTGAAAAGACTTCTTGTTTTACCCGAGGAGGAGACACAAGGTTGGAGCTGAGAGTGAAGTGAGTACTTAGAGTCTGACAAAATTCCTTTAGTAAATTTGTTGCATGACATCATGTGCCTATCAGTGACATTATCAACGATATGGTCCAATGGGATACCACTCATAAAAACAAAAGAAATATTCCCATTAGTCCAACCAAAAGAAGTAGCCTTACTGAATATCTGAAAATAACTATCGAAGTTTTCCAATGTAAAATTTTACATTCCAATATTGTACCGAATAGCCGCTTCAAATGAATTTTGAATTAATTTTGTTTTGTGTGAGTAAATGTCCAAGGGGAAAAATTAGGTTTCTAAATAAACTTGACAAAAGAAAAAAACACCCATCATCACTGGTAAACTAAATCTACTTTTTAGCCATTTTTTTGTGGAAATCTACTCAGTCTACTAGGTTTTATTTAAAGATAACCAAAATTTTGATTTAAATAAGATAAATTAAAAGAATAACAGCCAACGTTGGATTTAAAAGAATTGCCTACTGGAGAAATTTTGATGCAAGCAGTTCTTTCATAAAAGATAACTCATTGATATAAACCATCCAACGTAAAGTCAAATGATACCAAGTTAACTCTTAAATCCACTGAAGATTAAAGTCTTAACATACACTGACATCACTTAGAGAACCATTGAAAACCAGGGACCACTGGGCAGCTGTTTAGCTCGACTTCAGGACTCTTCAGAAGTACACACACACACACATCAGGGTTAGAACCCAAGACATTCTAATAACAAGGCAAGCTCCAACCAATCACCTATAAAATTCAAGCTTCTGCCGATTGGTAATACATAGCGCAACTATTAGCTAGTGATAGGCGAAAAACCAACCTTTTGCAAGACTTGATGGACCCCTCTGGACATGACTTCTCACTAAAACTCCAGTTAACTTCATCCTACAATCAGTGATGAGTGAATATCAGAGTGGTTTTCAAGTTTTAGTTTGCAGGAAGATGGGTCACGAGTAGTGCTGGAGGCTCGCAAACTAGGGGGAAACAACTGTCTAGTTCTCCCTACTTTTCAATGGTCCTCTAAATGACATCTATCCGTGATCAAAGATGAAACAAATCAAATCCCTACCAGCTAGCTCTTGAAAATTTTATTTTCCAGTTTCAAATTCTGCAATTAATCAGTTAACATTAGAATCTCTCTGTTTAAATTGCTTCTTAATTTCGACGGAACTTCTCCCTCTGGCGAAAATGAATTATCAAGAGGGAATCTGTCTCATTATGAGGTAGACATAATTAGCATGAAGTCGTTTACAGAATACTTGTCTTAGCTTATAAGGCGTCCCCTTAAACTTAGAGTTAATCATCAAAAAACTTATCCTGCATAAGTTATTTAACAACACTTTCATACTTATAGGTGACAAATAATCCATGCTAAAGGTACTTAAAATAAATAGGTATACTTTTAATGTGTGAAAATTAGTTTTATTAAGTGGATTCGTAGAAATTTTACTCTGAGTCATTAGGAAATTATTGTTATGCACAAGAAATTAATCTGAAAAGTTACATTAAACAATGAAAAGTAAATATCATTTCTTAATGTCTGACTTTACCTCAACATGCAACCATAACTGGGGACCTGCTCGAATCACTAGGCTAACTAAACTTCCACTCTATCCTACAAACTTCGCCATATTTTTTCTAATTTTTATTCTTTTAATCATTCAGTTACGTCCTTGAGTCGCAAAATGTACCTACAGACATTTTCCATTGGTCCTGCCGATAAGTATTTCTCAAACACGATGAAAAAATATCACAAAGGATTAGTCTATACTTCAGATCAAACACTATTTCGTCATATAATATGACACAGATTGCTATCCGTCTTGAAAATCCTAGATGAGGAGAAAATATTTTGGAGTAAATTACTCTGAGGATTTTGTAAGGATGAAGCTGTTATTGCATGGAGGATTTCATCATGAACTGACGTCAGTTAGAGAATCACTGGAAAACTTGACAGTATTGGATAGCTGTTTAGTCCTGGTTTGGGACTCTTCGGCAGTACGCACCCACCACCAAGGTTCAAACCCACGGCCTTCTAGTTGCATGGCCAGAGAGCTCGTAGACCATTAGGCCACTGGGACCCGATCCAATGGTCCTTGAATTCTAACTTCCACCAATTCACAAGATAGCGCGACCACTTCACAATGTCTTCTTCGATGAGTTACTGCTTCATCTTCAAGGACCATTGGAACAGATCCTAGTGGCTTAATGGTCCACGAGGTCGCCTCGTAACCAGAAGGTCCTGGGTTCGAACCTAGGTGGGCGCGTACTGTCGAAGAGTCTCATACTAGGATGGAACAGCTGTCCAGTACTTCATGCAGGTTTTCCGATGGTTCTCTAACTGATATCGATCCGTGATGAACTCGTAAAAATAACAATGCAAATTCACAAATTTATAGTCTCCACTGAAGGGCGATCAGAGCAGTAGTAGTGGCTGGAATTTTTTCTTCTACACACGCAGCACCGCCCGCTTCAAGCGAATTGCAATAGCCTCTGCTATTTGGATTATGCGGTACTTGGATGTTTTTGGCAATCGATTTGCTAACCGGTAGATGATCGAGAAGGACTCTTCAATCCTAGCTTTGTGGCTGGTTTGGACCACGTGTTCTGAAGTCGAACTGTTGATGTTTTTACCATACCTTTACTTAGCCAGACTGGTAAATGCTCGCGAGCACGAAGAATCGAGTTCCTAGTGCAACGGCTAATATAACTCGCTCCACCCCAAACGCAGCTGAATTTGTGGTTAACAGGAGGCGAATCTGCAACTATCCGGTCAAATGTTGATCACAGTTCATATGAAAATAAAAGATTCCTCATCATAAACAAGGAGAACATCCTACCTTATAATGTCTCGAAGGTTCTCATTCATACTCAGCTTAACATATAGTAGATACGTGCATTTTAAATTTACCCAACTTCGTGAAAGATAAAATATTCGGTAATGAAATTTGTACTAATTTTATTGCTTGAAATCATGGAGAAGATATGTGGCTCAGGTGGATGATATTGAAGTAGTTGTGTTATCTGAGGAGTTAGCTGATTCAGTTGTGAAGCTTTTTTCGTCGTTCTGGACAACATCTTCAGTGCAGGTTTTAGTATAAAATTAACCTATACTAAAACCTGCACTGAAGTTTTCGTCTAGAAGGACGATGAAAGCTTCATAATTAAATCAACCAACTTATAGAACACAACTAGCTCGATAATTTTACTACTTTTCATCGTTTAAAATAACCTTTTAAATAATAAATACTGAGTAACCCCAGAAGTGTTCATCTCAGATACAAACTTTGTCTGCTTAAGGACCCAATAGATCTAATTAAAGAAAATAGTGTAATTCACTAAGTGCTGTGTAATGATTGTGAGGTGGCACAGTGCTTAGGACTCTCTCCGACCATGCACATGGTCCGAGGTTCGATCCCCTGCCGATGCATACCTGATATCTATGGTCGGTCTGCAAAATTTAGGCTACCGATATCCATGCTGAAAATTCCATACTTGTACCACAAA